GTCTGAACTTTGGGCCTGGGCACTGTCCTTCAGCTCTTCAGCTCAAGGCTAGCCCTCTACCACTTGAGCCATAGCACCACCTCCGACTTTTTTTTTTTCTGCTTATGTGGTGCTAAGGAATCAAACCCAGGGCCTCATGCATGCAAGGCAAGTGCTGTACCACTGAGACACCTTCTCAGCCCCAAAACACACCTTTTCTTTTTGAGTAAGATCTCACTATGTAGCCCAGGCTAACCTCAAACTCATGATCTTGATCACCTGAGTCCTGGTATTACAGGCATATACTACCAAATTTAACTTAAAATTTGATTTCATAAAAATATTTTTATTATAAAAATATATTAACAAAAATACAATTGACTTCTGTGAAGCATAATAGTGGAACAAACTTCCTTGAGCCATCAATTTAAGAAAAAGAGCATTATAGGCCGGGCGCTGGTGGCTCACGCCTGTAATCCTAGCTACTCAGGAGGCTGAGATCTGAGGATTGTGGTTCAAAGCCAGCCCGGGCAGGAAAGACTGTGAGACTCCTATCTCCAATAAACCACCAGAAAACCGGAAGTGGCGCTGTAGCTCAAGTGGTAGAGCGCTCGCCTTGAGCTGAAGAGCTGAGGGACAGTGCCCAGGCCCAGAGTTCAAGCCCCATGACTGACCAAAAAAAAAAAAAAAAAAGAAAAAGAGCATTAGAAGAACTATTTAAGGTCCACATTTGCTTTTAACATGTTCACAGCAGACACAAGCTATGAGGATTTTGTACTTATTATTTCTTGTATTTGTTTATAATGTAATCATTGTATGTTTTAAAATATATTCAATTCTGCATATAGTCAGATAATATATTAGCATCACCATGTGATTCTTAAATATGAGCCACTGGCTCCTGGCTAGTCCTAATTTTATTTTATTTAATTATAATTATTTTTTTGCCAGTCCTGGAGCTTGAAATCAGGGCCTGGGCACTGTCCCTGAGCTTCTTTTGCGCAAGGCTAGCACTCTTCCACTTGAGCCACAGAACTACTTCTGGCTTTTTCTGTTTATGTGGTACTGAGGAATGGAACCCAGGGTTTCATGTATGCTAGGCAAGCACTCTACCACTAAGCCACATTCCCAACCCTTTTATTTTAAATATAATTTTATTGTTACTATGAAGGTGTTGTATAGAGGAGATACTATATCATAAGTCAGGTAATGAGTACATTTCTTTTGCTTGGACAATGTAACCTCTTCCTTTGCTTTCCCACTCTCAGCCCTGCCCTCAAGTTACATAGATAATTTTTCCTATAGTGTCCATGAAATAGCATGATTACATTTGTTTACCCTTCCCCTCTCCCTTTCTGTGCTCCTTTGACTCCTCCCTCCCCCCTGAAAAACCCGAAGCAAAAACAAATACCTCCACCACCACTACCAACAACAACAAAATATGCTTCCATTTCCTGGAATTGCTAGTCTTGATTTTTCTTTTAATAAAAAATCCTCATTTCCATTTCTTGGAGTTCATTTTGATAAACAGGTAGGCCTAATTTTTCTGTTGTTAAAATAGTTCATTTTCTTCTTTTTGCCTTAAGAAATATGTACCTACTCCAAAGTTTTCAAGATAGTCTAGAACAGGATGTGTGGCTCAATGGTTTAGTGTCTGGCAAGATCAAGGCTCTAAGTTCATACTCCAATAGAGCCCCATACCAAAAAAAAAGATATTCTAGAGTTCCTCTTAAAATCTCTCATCTTTCTCCATTTCCATTTATGTTACATTAGGAATTTCTGTGTTTGGTTTGAGGCAAGAATTTCCTTCTTCATTTTCTGTGTGGGTTACCAATTGTCCCAGTCCCCCTTTATTAATAATCTAGCTTTTCCTAATCTACTTTAAATGCCACTTCTGTCAAATGTCAAATTTCTGTGCCTGGGTGGTTTTATTTTAGACTCTTTTATTCAGTTGCATTGGTTTATGCTGCAGGATTCCTTATCTTTTTACTGATTTTTAGAGCCACTCATTAAAATATGGCTATATAGTTAGGGCTGCTGTATAGATTCCCTCTTTCAGATTCATCAAATTCTCTTCCACTTCTAGTTAAATTGATATTTCTTTCTTTCAACTAAGAGTAGATGTCAAGAAGACTGAAGCCAGGCATGGGTGGTTCATGCCTGTAATCCTAGCTACTCAGGAGGCTGAGATCTGAGGATTGTGGTTCAAAGCCAGCCAGAGCAGTAAAGCCCATGAGCCTCTTATCTCCAATAAACCACTGGAAGTGGCACTGTGGCTCAAGTGGTAGGGCGCTCATCTTGAGCTGAAGAGTTGAGGGACAGTGCCCAGGCCCAGAGTTCAAGTCCCACTACCAATTTAAAAAAAAAAAGAGGGCTGGGAAGGTGGCTCAGTGGTAGAGCACTTGCCTTGCATGCCTGAAGCCCTGGGTTCGATTCCTCAGCAACACATAAGCAAAAATAAAAAAGCCGGAAGTGGCACTGTGGCTCAAGTGGTAGAGTGCTAGCCTTGAGCTGAAGAGCTGAGGGACAAGCGCCCAGGCCCAGAGTTCAAGCCCCACGACCAGACCAAAAAAAAAAAAAAAGACTGAAAAAAAGGAACAAACAAAAAGAATGGATAGTGATCAGCCAGATAAGAGTAGAACATGCCTTTAATCCTAGTGCTAGGAAGGCTGTGGTACAAAGATTGAAAATTTTATGCCAGCTTGGGCTATGTAACAAGTTCAAGGACAGCCTGGGCCACATATTAAAATCTTGTCTCAGAGAAAAATAAAAAGACATTACCCAGATGCAGTAGTTCAATCATGTAATTCTAACTACTTGGGAGGGAAAAGATTGGTAGATCTGAGTTTGAGGCCAGCCTGGGCAAAAATATGTCTCCATCTCAAGAAGTCTCTGTCTCAACCAATGATGAGGGAAAGTACAAGTGGGAAGATCAAAGTCCAAACTGGCTTCACCCCACTTCCTAACCCTAGTGCTTTCACATATGCCTCCTGTGGCATAGAAGACTCCTTCTTACCAGGAGCTGGTGGCTCACACCAAGATCTGAGGATCATGGTTGAAAGTCAGCCCAGAAGGATAGTCCTGAAGACTCTAATGAATTATACAGAAAAAGCTGGAAGTGGCACCATGGGTCAGGGACAGTGCCACAGACCAGCACAATAAATAAATAAATAAATACCCCTTCTCTTGTGATCTATATTGTATACTCTGGATTTTAGCGAATTGAGTAATTTTTTTCTCTGTTTTTATTATTCTTTTGGAAGCTTACTGCCCTGTCCTGAGTAGAAGAATTTATACTTTTCTTCACATTTGACATTTCCGCTAATTTTATTTTGTCCTTTCCTCTATCTCCTTGATTTCTGGGAAATTACATGTATGTTAGATTAAGATTGTTCTGATTTTACTTTCATTTCCATTTTATTCCAATCTTTCTCGATCCTCTAATTTGGACTGGTTATATTGCTATGTCTTAACGTTACTGATATTTTCTACTATAGTATTTAATCTCTGAACTCAGTTCAGTAACTTTTCATGTCAAATTATGTTTTTAACTCTAGAAGAAGTTCCATTTAAATCCTTTCTTTTCCTTTTCCAAGACCAAGATTTGAACTTGCTATCTGAAGCTTGCTTCCATTCATTGGCTGGTGCTCTATCACCTGAGCTAGACCTTCAAACACCGCCCCCCATTTAAACCTTTTTAGTATTCTTTTGCTCATTATGTTCACTTATGTTGTCCTTTAAGTCCTTGTTCTGAAGTCCTTGCCTGCTAATTTCATCATCATTCATTTCTATTAAGTGGTTTTAAATATTCATCATGAATAATGTTTCTGTGTTGTTCTAAAGTATAGTATTTTTTGTTGTTAGATGGTGGGCATATACTGTTAAATAATTGTTAAGATTTTTTTTCAAATTTCCTATAAAGTTTCTTTTGACAGGAAATTGACTTGCCTTGGCCCATAAGTGGAATTTCTAAGCTTTGTAAAAGCAGATCTTAAATGGTCTGTATTCTAAGGTAGTTTACCTCTATTACTAAAGTATGGTCCTTTTGGGATCTCTACTGAATTCCTTTGCATCTGGGTGCTGGTGGGTCACCTGTGTTTTTTTTTTAATTTAATTTTATTTTATTTGTGAACATACTGTACAGAGGGGTTACAATTGCATGGGCAGGATAATGCGTACATTTCTTACCAAGCATTGCAGCCTCCTCCTTTGTTTACCCTTCCCATTGTTTTTTTTTTTTTCCCCCCCCTGGTCATGGGGCCTGAACTCTGGGTCTGGGCGCTGTCCCTCAGCTCTTCAGCTCAAGGCTAGCACTCTACCACTTGAGCCACAGAGCCACTTCTGGCTTTTTCTGCTTGTATGGTGCTGAGAAATAGAACCCAGGGCCTTGTGTATGCAAGGCAAGCACTCTATCACTGAGCTACCTTCCCAGCCTCTGTAATTCTACCTACTCAGGAGGCTGTGATCCTGAGATCACAGTTCAAAGCCAGTCAGGACAGGAAAGTCTAAGAAAATTTATCTTCTATTAACCATCAAAAAAGCCAGAACTGGGGCTGTGGCTCAAGTGACAAAGCACCAGCCTTGAGTTAAAAACTAAGGGACATGCTAGACGCGAATGGTTCACACCTGTAATCCTAGCTACTCAGGAGGCTGAGATCTGAGGATCATGATTTCCAGCCCAGGCAGGAAAGTCCATGAGACTCTTATCTCCAATTAACCACCAGAAAACTGGAAGTGGTGCTGTGGCTCAAGTGGTAGAGCACTTGCTTTGAGTTGAAGAGCTCAGAGACAACCTCCAGGTCCTGAGTTCAAGCCCCATGACTGCTCCCGCCTCCCCCCCCCCCCAAAAAAAAAAGAACAAACTTGGTTTTCTCCAAGCACTGTGACATCTCTAAGAAGCATTTGGCTTACAGACCCTTGGAAGACTTTCTTTGGCTGGCTTTGTAAATTTCATACTAGGTACATTTTGTCAGTTTGGATACTCCAAAAGCAAGAGCCAAGGAGGGGATCTGCTAGATTTATTAAAGTAAATGCTGTAAGGAAAAATGAAAAGGGAGCCAGAGGATGCTAGAAATCTTACGATTGCAACACAGGTCTGACCCTTATGAGAAGAAAGAAAGGCTGAACAGAAGGAAGGCAGAGGGCATGCTGTATTTCTGAAGAACAAGACTTCCTTTTTAGGCCTCAGAAACTCAAGTCTTTAGCAGAGATTAACACATGAGAAATCCGGACCTTACTCAAATGTGATAATGAATTTCAAGAGTCCAGCAGCTGAGACCAGTCAATTAGGCTCTGCATCAAGATCTAAGTAGTATACATTTTGGAGGCCACCAAATATTATTCGTCTCTTGCAGCAAAGAGATTTACTTCTCAAATTTTGAAGAGGATTCCTCCATGATTCCTATTGTCTTTTCTTCCTAGGGGAAAATTCAGAAAAGAAGATCAATCAGACAAACTTACAGCCCTTATTATAGAAGTTGATCTCAGAGTTGCAACTGGTCCTCATTCTCTCTTACCTCCACCTCTCATTCATTCTGGATTCCATCCCTTACAGGTATCACTTTGGTAATCATGCCATTCTCAGTCTGAGGTTGCCATAGTTTTCTATTTCCAGTTAGCAAGAGTACAAGGCAATATCAGGAGACACTTGGATAATTATGTTAAACACATATGCCACTCCATCTGCCTAATAGCAGTCTTACCTGCTCCTGTTCATCAATAGGCAAACTCCCCCTACCAGTAAGGTGACTTCTCTCTTGCCTGCTACTGTCTATGCTCAAGGAATCCAAGATGTCATGGTAATTGTAATTTAGTTAAATGTTATTCTTGCTTGTGGCCTCTAGCAAGAATGTAACTCTTTTTGGACATCAGGGACTCTCCAGTTCTTCAAAATCCAGGGATACAAGGATGTGAAATTTAAAAATTCCCTAGTTGGGACTAATGGTAAATAGAACTGCTCCTGCTTCCTAGAGCCTGTATTTTTCCATGTGTTTCTGCCATATCCCCTCAGGTTCTTGTGACAGTGTTAAAACCCACAATCTGAGAAAGTGGGTCAAAGTCAATATATTATTTATATCTAGACCTTCATTCCAGTCTCTTTGATCAAATGCTCATGCTCTTGGTGGCCCCCCCGCCCCCGGCCATCCCAAAGGTCAAATCTGAGAGTACTGCCTTGGCTTCTTCTGCTACATAGATGGCTACCTGCAAATTCTTTTGAGGATAGAGATCCATGCCGAGGTTTCTGATTTCAACGCACATGCTATATACCTGAAGAAAGGCATGCCATCCGTTCCATATATTTCTTCTGAACTGCCACTTAACTTTTGAATATAAAGACTGGGGGAGTGGGGGTGGCGGGACTAGGAAGGTGGCTCAGTGGTAGAGCGCTTGCCTTGCATGCATGAGGCCCTGGGTTTGATTCCTCAGCACCACACAAACAGAAAAAGCTGGAAGTGAGTGCTGTGGCTCAAGTGGTAGAGTGCTAGCCTTGAGCTGAAGAGCTGGGGGAACAGCACCTAGGCCCAGAGTTCAGGTTCCACAAATGACCAAAAAAAAAGATTGGTTCAGTGTTCTTTGAGGCTGGTTCTTTAGGATCTTATTAATATTACCAGTAAATTCCATGGCACAAAAGGGGTTGGATACTATGCTGTGTTTGATTCTGTCACTGGATTTTGGTTACTGGTTCTGGGGCCTGAAAGACAATAGTTTCATCAGAGAAAAGAATTCAAGGATGGACACTGGAGATTTAAGCAGGAGCCAGTTTATTAATTCAAAGCACAATGCAGCAAGAAAGGCAAAAGTGCATTCTCCAAGAGAGTGTGCTATATTGGCGATCCTAAAATCTACAACTTTTTTTTTTGTCATTACTGGAGTTTAAACTTGGGGTCTTATACTTGCCAGGCAAGTGCTCTACAACTTAAGCCATGCTCCCAGCCCTTTGTGCTTTATGTTTTTCCTTTTAATAGGATCTCATATTTATGCCTAAGATAGCCTGGACCACAATCCTAAAGCACATACTACTATGCTCAGCTTTTATTGATTGATGAAGATCTTCTGAACATTTTTTGGGGTCAGTTGTGGGGCTTGAATCAGGGTCTGGGCATTGTCCCTGAGCTCTTTTGCTCAAGGCTAGAGTTCTACCACTTTGAGCCACAGCTCCACTTCTGGTTTTCAGTAGTCAACTGGAGATAAGAGTCTCATTGACTTTCCTGCCTGGGCTGGCTTTGAACCATGATCCTCAGAGCTCAGCCTCCTGAGTAGCTAGGATTACAGGTATAAGCTGCCAGGATCTGGCATCTTCTAAACCCTTTAGTCCAGGATTGACCTGCAACCATGACCCTCCTGATCTCCAACTCGTGAATAGTTAAGATTACAGGTGGGAGACACAGGAGTAGGACTGGGCAGCCTCAAGCTTTTATTGTTGTCTTTTGGTATAGGGATGGCTGGTAATGAAAAATTAATGTTCCATTAACTTCTGGGGAGTGGGCTGTATATCATCAACTCCCCTTTTTGCATTTCAGGTGGTGGGAGTTCATGGCTTTGGATGGCCAGTTTAGGACTGTTATGTTTCAGTTGGTGAGAGCTATGGGTCAGCAAAACCCTGCTGTATGTCACAAGCAGTTCAGGGTATTATCAACATCCAAGCCACAGACTTCATAACTCTCTGGATAACCCCGTATATCACTCCTCATGTAAGGAGTGTGGACCCTTACAATCTTTTTTTTTTTTTTTTGGCCAGTTGTGGGGCTTGAACTTACGGGCTGGGCACTGTCCCTAAGCTCTTTCACTCAAGGCTAGTGCTCTACAACTTTGAGTCATCGTGACACTTCCATTTTTCTGGTGGTTAATTGAAGTCTCACAGACTTTCCTGCCTGGGTTGGCTTTGATTTGTGATCCTCAGATCTCAGCCTCCTGAGTAGCTAGGATTATAGGCATTAGCTACCAGCATCTGGTCATTTATGATTTAAATAGGGCTGTATACCTTTTTCAGAAACTACTTTCTGCTGAATGGTGGCACTGGCCCTACCAATGGGTCTGTATTTTCTCTTTGCTATTTGCTGGTGGTTGATAACTGAAACTAAGGTAGGGGAAGGGAATGATGCAACAACCTGTTTTAGGGGTTCTTGTTGTTGATGTTTTTCTTCTAGAATATAGCATTTTCAGGCGAAATTTTTGAAGCCCAGTAGTTGGATTTGCTGTGGGTTGCCACTGTGGTTGCTGTAATTTTGTGAGAATGATCTTCCATCTCCTACTTATCAGGTGCAGTTGAATATCCTGTAATGCTTTTTAATGTTGTGGTCCTGAACCATCATCCCATGGCAGATATGGAACTTTGTATGTAGGAAACCTTGGAGAAGTATTCTTGTCCACCCCAGGCAGATGTGATTTGGTTCTGAGACTCAGTGATTAAAGGAATACTAAAGCAAGCATTAGCAAAATCCAAAAGGGCAGGATATCATTTAATACAACAATAGTAGTGGCGTCCTGACTCTTTTAGCCATAGATTTTGTTTTGGCATACAGGACCAAATATGGCTTCCCTTCTATGGAGCAGGCCTAAGATCCAATTAGAAGAATGTGGGCAGTTGTACCCACACTAGTAAATGTTGCGCCAGTGGACACATCCTACAGTGCATGATGATGATGGAGTAACACATCGGACCACTGGGGACAATGTTCCCTGGTAGCCTGCTTAGTGCCCTCTGGCATTATGAATACTAACCAATAATGAAGAAGCTTCCAGTTTGGTCCCAGCTTGATTTCTCTTTGTCATATAACCAGAGCATGTGAAGAAGTCTTTTCAGCAATAGGAACTTGCCATCCATTTCTGGTATACAACTAACTTTAGTGGCAATAGCCATTATGGTGTACAAAGGGCCTTAGGGACTAAGAACTTATAGGGAGGGGGCCCACCTCCAACACTGCCATTTTATTCAACAGCCTTATGATGGCTTTTGGAAATACCATGTGGGTATCTCATTTAAACTCCTTAGTTGTTGTTCTAAATATTTGAGGTCATACTTTTGTAGCCCAGTATTTTGTTAGTAGCAGTAGTTGTGATTTCCTTTTCTATCTCTGCTGGCAGGCTATACTGCTAAGTATTTATTACCCTGTGTAGGGCAGACATTTTTTTTAATTGGTCTTTGACTAGTGAGGTGTTACAGTTTTTAACCCGTTGTATCCTTAGGTGGAATTTTGCAATTATACAGTGTGGGGTATGCCCTAGAAGCACATCTACCCTCTCCTTCCTGGAGATAAATCGAAACAGTACATTCCCAGAGAAGACAACAGTTCGTTCCCAGGGGAACCTACACTCATCTCTCCATATCCATCTGCAGCTGTCCATTGCCCTCTATGTTTAGGGGAGATGGTCAAGAAATAGGGTGCATTCTGTACCAGCTTGCATTATTATAGTATATGTGGTCTGTATAATTTGGGATCACCAGTTCATCTTTCCATGGATTTTACTATGTGGATGCAGGAGCCTGATGGATTTTACATTTAAAAACAATTTAGTGCTCTGATATAATGCCACAAAAAGTTGATTTTAGACCTTTTTTCTGCCAAAAACAAAACAAAACAAAAAACCCAAAAAAACTACTGGGTGCTGGTGGCTAACTCCTGTAATCCTAACTACTCAGGAGGCTGAGATCTGAGGATCGAAGTTCAGAGCCAGCCTGAGTAGGAAAGTCCGTGAGATTTTTTTTTTTAATTTTTTTTTTTTGGGTCCGGTCATGGGGCCTGAACTCTGGGTCTGGACGCTGTCCCTCAGCTCTTCAGCTCAAGGCTAGCACTCTACCACTTGAGCCACAGTGCCACTTCCGGCTTTTTTCTTATGTGGTGCTGAGGAATCGAACCCAGGGCCTCAAGCATGCAAGGCAAGCACTCTACCACTGAGCCACCTTCCCAGCCCAGATCTCTCTATTTTTATGATTAATATAGAGGCCACACCATACTGCAGAAAAAAAATTTCTAATCAAGTTTTTCAAAATTTCATCTCTTTACTATACATCCTAAAGGAGAATCATCAGGAATGCTAATAATACTACCTTCTTGTTTAGTCTCGCTCTGGGCCTTAGAGAAAAAAGAAAAAGACAAAAATTGGTGAGCATAACTACTCTAATTCTCTGGAACTCCCCTGTATCTGTGAGTTCCAAGATCCAGTTCCCAGATTATACCCAGAATGCAGTCAATCTCACTAGAGTCTCTCATAATGGCAACCATTTCCAGGACCACTGAAAACTCCTTGACAGCTTGGACCCAGTACCTACATTCATTGTGACCAAAAGTCAGATGAAGAAGGACCAGGACCTTCAGGCCTTGCCCAGCATCAGTGGTTTAGGCCTCTAATCTTAGCTACTCAAAAGACTGAGATTTGACACTTGTGATTTAAAGCTAGCCCAAGAAGGAAAGCCTGA